AAAAATTTTCCGCTCCTTAGGGGGGCGGCAGCTTCAAAAAGGTTGAGAATCACTGATTTAGGGCATTCCAGAAGAAACATAATTATCTGACTAAATTCTTAGTGCAATAAGAACTAGACTTCAATCTAGGAGACAGCTGCTGATATAAACATATTGTCTTCTGTTCCCTTGGTTAGAAGTTATAACTAAACAAAATTTGAAAGCCTAGAAGAGCTTATGATATATATATAGCTTGCATTCCATCTTATTTTCAACAGTATTTTAGTAATAAGTTCATCTGCTAGTACTTTATTTTCATCTAGAATGACTTTTAATCTTTATTTTCATCTAGAATAGACATTTTAATCTTGAGATTTAGTGCTGAAATTAATATTCAGATTAATAAACAATGATATAGAACCTCTATTAAAGAATGTTTAAACTAAGGATTCCTGTATAAGCTAGTTTCAGACATGCAATTGCTTGGACAAATGTATACAATATTCTATATCATTTCATTCTGGAGACCCAAATTGACTGTAAACAAATATAATAAAAGGAGAACCAATTATAGATGAGCAACTTGTTTATTTTTTTACTAACCCTGCCTTTCATTTTCTTAACTTGGTGCTCCCAACACCAAGGGAAACAGTAAATGTATACTTGCCTCTTTTGGAATCATCTTGATCCAAACTGATCTGATGTGCAAGCTAATTCCTCTTAGGTGCTTGCTTACCTGGCCTCTATTTGTTCGGAAACCACATTCCAAAGTCAGCACCTTTCTTCATTTGCAGCTAGCCATGGCATAAACATACCCTAAACATTTTTTTTTCTGCCATTGCCTTCATCCCATCTCCAGCCCATGAGTGAGACAGGCTTAAGAGGATTTAACTACAGCCCTGTGGTTATTTTATTTTCCCCAGGTCTGACATAGCAAGGGCAGCTCCAACATGTATAAAATGTGTCATCTGTTACCTTCAAGGGAAATCAGATGACTGTAGTGACTTGGAAACAGAGCATTAGAGAAGGGACAGGGATTGATAATGGGGACAGCAATTTTCATTTCACATTGACTCAAGAATGGATGGAGAACATTCAGCTCATCAGTGAGAAAAAGCCTGAAGAACTATTTCAATCATGCAAAAACAGTAAGATCATCACTTCCATTAAGAGTCAGATCTTCCCTTTAAGAACTGACCAGCTCTTCTCAACTCTGTACTTCATAATTACATTAACATTTCAAGTCATAGAATTGACAAATTGAGTGAATGCAAAGATGAAACAAAAATGTTCTGCTTTTTGGACCAGTTTGAAACTGTTAGATAATGTTAATACTTCCAAGTAATTGACTTCTCTCCCTTTTGTTGATCAGTCTAAATCCTATGTTAGTCTAGAAGGACCAAGATTCATCCCCAAACATTTGATTCATCTCTGGCCAAGTTTCTTGCTGTTTTCTGTACTATTGTGAGCACCCCTACAAATCTTTCTCAAATAATTGCTGTTAAACTTTTTGTATCAATACAGTTCCATTTTTCACTCCTTTTGGCTAAATTCACAATTTGTTCCTTAGCAATATAAAACCAGATAAGATATTATGCTTGCCTTTGGGAATACAAAATTTTGTATGCCTGGTCAGGTAGGAAGCTATTTTAGATGGGGAAGGAATTTATTGTACCCAAGTATAAGATACAAAATTATAATTGACAAAGTTTGTTTAACTGAGAAGCATTTTTCCAGATACCAGTGAGTAGACTAATCTATCAACTGAGATGAAATTAAAACAATTTAAGTGATCCTGTCATTTGCCTTCATTTTGGAAGATGTTTCCACAAAATATAGCTTGCCTTCTTTTATAGGAGATCTGTGAATCAGCAGAGGACACCATTCTGGATTTAATTGATTACACTCATAGGAAACTGACCCTGCTAGCAGCTCAAAGTGCCAATGGGAAGATACCATTTGAACAAAAGCTTCAACCTGAAGATCTTGCCAATCCTTCATCAATGCAGGTGGGTGAAGGACATTATCTCTTGCTTCTAGGCATCCACTCCAGATAAAGGGAAAATTCAAGATATAATTGATCACAATTGCAATCTAAAAATGTTGGGTAGAAAGAAAGTTTAAATCAAACTTCTTTATTCTGTGGTGACCTGTGGGTACACAGAAATTTCATAGTCTATTCACAGTGCTCTTAACAAGAGAAAGTAACACAGTGCTCTCTCTTCCATCAATTTGACAGCATAATTATCTGCTTCTGCCTTATCTCCCACCAATTTAAGTTGGGTGGCCTCAAACTTGCTAAGGTCCTATTTCCTCATATATCCACAAAGTGTTCTTAGCTTTATTCACAATTGTATTCCTGCTGTTTGCCATTTTTCTCGCTCTGATCATCCAAAGATGGAAAACCCCATCTTGTCTATGTTTGGGTCACACCCAACATACAAGACCTTACACAATGTCACTGTTCCATTTCTTATACTTGCTTCGTCATTTTCCTTAATTGTAAGTATTGTATGTTTGTTTGTCACAAATAGTCAATCAAAATGCAGCTGCACGGACAATCTTAGGCCCCCCAAGAATGGCACATGTAACATCTTTACTGCGTGAGCTGCATTGGGTCCCAGTCTGCTTCTGGGCCCAATTCAAGGTGTTGGTTATTACCTTTAAAGCTCTACATGGCATGGGTCCAGGTTCTTTAGGGACCGTCTCACCCCCATCGCATCAACCCGTCCCACCCGGTCATGTTGCAGACCCCATCAGTGAGAGAATGTTGGCTGGTGGGGCCTAGGAGGAGAGCTTTCTCTGCTGTTGCCCCCACTCTTTGGAATATTCTCCCCCCAGAGGCACAGCAGGCCCCTAATCACCCAGCTTTCCAGAAAGGATTAAAGACCTGGCTTTGCCAGCTTGCATGGGGTAACAACAATCTTACCCAATCCTGGGGGTGGCTAGTGCCTTGATGACATTCCCTGAGTGAATGCCAATTTTATATCTATCCTTGGATCTATTTATTTTCTATTTATTAAGATTATTGTATATTGTAATTTTAATTGATTTTAACTGTTTGGTAAACCACCCAGTGTTGTTTCAACAAGATGGGTGGTGACAAATTTGATATATAAATAAATAAATGAAATAAAAAAAACAGTAATAATATGAGTGAATGCCAATTTTATATCTATCCTTGGATCTATTTATTTTCTATTTATTAAGATTATTGTATATTGTAATTTTAATTGATTTTAACTGTTTGGTAAACCACCCAGTGTTGTTTCAACAAGATGGGTGGTGACAAATTTGATATATAAATAAATAAATGAAATAAAAAAAACAGTAATAATATTTATTCTTTCATACAACTTATTCAGCACTTTAAATTCTTCTTATGAAGTTATCATGGACTTAGGGCATTTAGCAACACACACATGTTCACTTTTGGCAACCCACTTGGGGGTCATCATACTTCAGACTGCATGGTTCTTAAACTGTTAGCAACACATATCTTTTCACAACTAAGAACATGCTTGGAGCCACCTAAACTCAAACAAGATCAGACCATGTGTTTCTTTAACTTTCATGAAAAGAACAATCACCCTGCCACCATGTAACCTCTTGGATATGTAGATTTTGGGAGCAAATTGATATACAATAATAATATTGGCGCTAGATGAGTCTTTCTAGGAAAAATATTTCAGAATTCGGAGAACACTGCCGTGGCTGCCCTCCAAATTTCCAGCCATCCCTTAAAATTTTAGGAACCTCAGATTTTCTCATCTAGTATGATTGTATTATATGACTTTTACTGTTTTCAGGAATTAAAGAAGCAAGCTGAAATGATGGAGTTTGAGATCTCACTGAGAGCTCTTTCAGTGTTCCGTTTCATTACTGATATGATAGAGAGGTATGTTAACTTTCCATAGTAGAAATAAGGCACTTGGGAAAGATAACCTTTTCAGTAGACGAGGATATATGTAGCTCAGGGTTGAACTGTGGAGTCCTTGGTGCTCTCTGAGCTTGATTGTTTGCTTGCAGATGTTTCATTACCCAACATGACCCAACATCATCAGTGCTAGTGAATGTGGGATTTGCTTCCTGTTTATTATATACAGTAGCTTGCCCTGCCAGTGTTAGTGGGGGTGTGGTTTTTCTCCATAGTAGTTCTTTGATTAGGGTATTGTTTTTTGCTTATTGCTTGATTTCTTGTCTGGTGTTAATCCCTGCTTATCTAGGC